CATTCAAGAGTGTAACAAAAACGAAAGAAAAATGCTAACGCACCGTTGAAATGAGATTTTTACCCTTCACACCATGGAAAGGTATTTCCTTTGTCTCTCCATTTTCGACATCCTCGAACTTGATTTGCTCAATTCCTCCATTTCCAGTTGAAATGTAGATCTTGGTCACACTATTGGGAGGAGTCACCGTGGAAGAAGAGATTGGTGCAAAATAAGCTCCAAGAGAATTGAGATGAGAACTAGAGGACCCATGAAAGCTAATGATCTTCTTGTCCTTAACTTGAAGTGAGAATGGTGTACCATCTCCAGAAAATTCGTATCCAAAGAACTGAGAAATGTTTTTGTTGGTTTGAAACTTGATTCCTTGAATGATATTGGATGAGTCGTACCAACCCTCGACCGAAATGAGATACTCATCCGGATGGTTAATCACAATCTACATAAATTCCCCAAAAAATCAAGATCTAAATGTTAGTAATCTATTTGTGAAGAGTGGGAAATCCGGTTTACAATATGGATGGGTATGATTTTATATCCTTGCCTATATACACTAAAACCAAATAATAGTTCGGTTTGATGCAACTATGGTTTGGTTTAGATTTGGCTCCAGTTTCATTGAAAAGACAAATTCAAAATATTTAAAATAGTAATTTAGTTTATATAATATGATTACATATCCTTTAAGATATACATAAAACTATATATAGGTATAATAAAATTTAATAACTTTCGGTTTATTCAGTTTGATCACACTATTGTTTCAGTTTTTTTTTCGGGTTTACCTAAGATAAAACCAACGATTTTTAAACACATTTCACTGTGGCTTCGGTATAAACAATTTGATTTGTTTCGGTTCACTTTTCCGGTTAAACCCTAAAACAAAGACTGGATATATGTACTAAGCATTGAAGGAAAAAAAATAGAACGCACCGTTGAAACAATATTTCTACCCTTGACACCATGGAAAGGTCCTTCTTTAGTCTCTCCATTTTTGACATAACCAAACTTGATTTGCTGAATTCCTTGACCACCAGCTGCAATGTCTATCTTAGTCACACCTTCGTGTTCAGTTCCATCGTCCCATTGGTTGCCTCCTTTTCCTCCTTGTGCTTCTGATTTTTCGGGTACTTGGGTCGACATCCTTCAGATTTTTTCCTGAAATCATGAAAAATTGTTACTAGCTATATACATATTTGGATATAAATTTAAATGAACGTAAGTAATACTCTAAGCTCTTTAATTGGACCTAGCATATGAACATATATTGACACGTGAAGATGTTCTGAATGTAATGAATCAAACTCAAATTTCACAAAATGCAATAATATATGCATTGTTTCTAGAAAGAACCGGTCTGGATCCAGTTTTAATTAACTCAAAATTAAGAGCAATATAACGTAGTAAATACTTGATCGTTGCATGCATGTACGATTAAATATATTTATATATTAAACTTAAACAAGTTGAAAAGAAACAAAGCACAAGAGAGGAAAAAAGGTGTCAAGCTTGCATTGTTTTGTTATTAAAAAAATACAGCATTTGGGAATAATGAAAAAAATATACAGAAAGTCCCAACAAAAAGATATGTTCCTAACTTCTTTGAAAACTAGTCAGTACTCACTAATTAGAGAGGGAAAAAAATACATCATAATAAAATAATCAATACTTAAGAAAGAAGAAGAAGAGTGAGAGTAAAACCCAAAAGAAATAGAGAAAAGGTAGCCTGAGTAAATTAGAGGATAATGAGTAGAAGTGTGACTTGTGAATCATGATAGAGGAATGGTGTGGTATTTATTAAGCCGATTTTGGGGTAAGTTTTTTTTTTTTTTTTACAATTTGGGGTAAAGTTTAAATTAATTTTTTTTTGTAACTGTAACGAAAAAAATTCTCACACCCACAAATTTTATTTTATTTTTGAAAGCTTACTCAGTAACTCAGATCTATCTTTTTTTTTTCGATTTATCATATAAATTTTTAAGATATATTTTTTTTTGAAAAAGAATTCTTAAGATATGCTTTCTAAGAAAAATATTTTTCATAATTAATGTGAAACTAAGAAACCTCACACTCATGCAATTTTTCTTCGTGACAATGACATTAGTTGTGATTCTCGAAAACGGTTACATTTTTCTTATAAACGTGAGAGAAGTGTTTTCCACATGGTTTAACAAACAATAAAAAGCCAAGAAACATGAATTTGTTGTACCTAACAAATAATGACCAAAACAAATGCTCACCTAGTATTGATATCTAATCAGATTTCTATATCGTAGTTTATTTTGGTTATAAGCTTCTTTATAAAATTAAATTACTCTCTTTATCTCAGTTATTTTAACTTTTTATCAATTAAGTTTTAGTTAATTGAATAAGTCTAAGTTTCCCTAAATTGTATTTTTTTTCTTCTTCCTAATACAATATAATAGGCTATGTGACTAAAATGTATATATTTTGACCAAAATTTCATCATGACTATAAAAGTCAACAAATATATATGGAATTTAAATAATTATAAACTAAAACTGAGAAAAAAGAAGAAGATGGCTATGTGAAATTTCATTTACAAAGAATAATCATATGTAAACTATATAAGTATAAATGGTCCTCTTTTGTTGTTGTTTTTCTGCTGCAGCTACCTTTTATTGCATTAATTATGAAAACAAAATGCCTGCAATAGAAAATGCGAATTTAGGGTCCGAATGGTGACATTGAATTATGCGGAGGATAGAAAAATTGCGTAATGCGGTTCAGTGTAAATGCGGTTCGTGAAGAAAAATATATTATGCGGAACAAGTGCAGTTTATGTAAAAAACGCGGAGCAAAACAATAGTTGATTGGTGTAAAATACAACATGCGGTATAAGACAATGGTTTGATTGGTGAAAAATGATAAATGCGGTTTACATAGATATTAAAATAATAAATACGGTTTAAATAGAAAAATGATAATGCGGTTTAAATAGATATTAAAATAATACAACTTAAAAAAAATAACACTTACAGTCGTAAAGTAAATATATTATTAAAATAATTTATTTAGAAAAATATTTATCATAAAAGATGATTGATACTTGAAAAAAGAATTTTTTTTTGTTTGGTTCTTATTGTGTCGAGAGAATTAGAAATAGTTGGTGTGTTTGTTTGTGAATTTTGTATTTGTAGTTTGAATGACAGGTTTTATAGGCAAATTTTATTATTAAAAAATATCAACTGATGGATATGCGGATTTGTAAGTGAACCGCTGGGTTTTACATGCTGTATAAAATCGAAGTGCATTACTTGATCTTATTGATATTAAAATTATTAATATACATATTATTTCGTCTTAAGTGGGAGTAGACTTCAATTTACAATTTTACAA